CCTATTTGGGAAGTGTTCTGCCATCATTTCTGTGAACAGTTTTTTTTATGTCATCTACACTCTCTCCTGTTTCTTCACTGATTCTGATCAGTCTTATGCTATTCTTCTTTGCATCATCTAGCAGCTGCTGGATTGAGTTCTTGTGGTCCCCTACTATTTTTAAGACATTTTTCTTTTCCTGGTCAGTAATTGCAATCTTATCTTCTGTATCTGAAACTCTGTCCTCACATTGGCTCATTCTGCTGCTTAACTTTCTTTCTTTCTTTTCTTTTTCTTCTGCTGCTTAGCTTTCAATGGAGTTTTTAATCTTCTGGAAATCTCTTTGCATCTGTTTTATGGATTCCATTTGTTTCCTGTGTTGGGAGTCCATCATGTTCCTCAGCTCCTCTATTTTTTTTTTTATCTGTGTCTTCTCTAGATTTATTAATCATGTCTTGCCCTATGGGCACCATCTCTGCTGTTATCTGAGAAGTTATTTCTGATTTCATTTTTTCCAGATCCCCTTTCATTGCCAGTTCAAAGAGTCCAGGTGGTTGAGTATCAGATTGTTCCATTTCATTTCCCTTTGGGGTTGCTTTAGGTGATCTGGGAGTCTGTTTTTGAGACTTGTTTATGTGTCTTCTCATTTCAAGGGGGAGCGGGGAGCATGGGAGGGAGATGTGTGCTACTGATGCCTACACAGCTCACCTCCTTGGCACTGGTGGTGGTGGTAGGGTGGCCTGAAAGGTTCTCCTCTTTTGCACTGGGCACAGCTCTGCTCCTGGGCACTGGGGGCAGTGGTACAGTGGCCCAGAAGGTTCACCTTCTCTGTGCTGGGTGCAGTGGTAGGGCAGCCTGGAATGTTCCTGAAATCACTTTTATCCCTTTCACACTACTGATGCCTCCTGAGAGTTCTTGATGGAAGAATGCAGAGTTTCTGGAGGTGGGCAAAGCTGGTGAGTCACCCCAGGACACAGTTCATAGAGGTTTCAGTACCTAACTGGTTCCAAGGCTGGGATGACAAACGACCATCACACAGGAGAAACAACATGGCAGCAAAGGTAACAGGAGAGCACAAAGTAATTTTTAAATGATCTTTCTGTCTCACTAGGAAATAGTACCAAACATGGGCTGGAGGAAGAAAGCTGTGGTGTGGATTCCTTATAGCTTTTCCAGGGATGAACACACTTACCCTCATTTTAATGAAGAAGACACTGAGGCTAACAGAGAGGCAATGGCATGTCCCAGGCCATACATCCACATATTGGGTCATTAATTTATTCAATGTGTCAAATATACCTGAGGACAAGGAGCTCAGGACTAGTGTGGGCTGGGAGTTCAGGTCAATAGTAGAGTGTGCTGACCAACATAAGGCCCTACTTTCAATACCAACACCAAAACAAAATAAATGTCTTTGTATGTAGGAGAAAATCATTACAATACTGCACAGTAGTTGCTGGCATGTAGGAGGCCACAGTGGGCTAGAACACTGGGAATGGTATTTTGCAGACCCCAAAAGAGGAACAAATTGACCTAAGTCTTCAAACATGAGTAATACTTTGCCAGATGACAAAAAGTGGGGATTCTAGTCCTCTTGATCAAAGTTGTAATATAAGTAAGGATGACCCATGATTAAAGATATATTTTAATCCTTTGTGGTTTGATTAAGCTTAAATTTAAAAATTTACTACCATCCCACCAACAACTTAAGTTTATTATTTAAAAACTTGAAACTGCAGAATGAAAAAAAAACAAAAACATATTCACCTACTTATTTCCAGACCCCTTTGCTCTCCATTACAAGTACACATGAACCTAAAGCAAGATGTCATGAACATTCTCCTGCACCAGTGAACATGAACCTTTACCATCAGCTATAAGGTTGGCCAAGTGTTAAATCATGTGATTGCTCCACACTTCATTTGGCTGAGGCTCTGTGGGTGGACATTTAAGCCACTGACTGAATAGCTCTGAAGCTATGCCAAGCTGAGCTGAAGAATGTGGCAGAGATATAGGCAGCTGGGGACAAATCAGGTAACAAATATTCAATGATCCATCCCTTTCTCTCTTGTAAGTTATTTGCATTAGATTTAGCTGCAATTTCAAAAGCTAATCTGAGTATTTTGCAAGAAAAACAAATAAGCAGAAGTACTTTCTGGAGCTCTGCAAAGTAGAAATGGGTTTTGTACAGTGAGTACCCAACTGGGTACTGAAGTGGCTTCTAGGAGCAGGTGGAGAAGGAGAACATGATACTTTATCCTCCTGAGAATGAGCTTATCATGGGAGTAGACTCTAAAATGCAATATAACCTTGAAAAAAATATTTTCTCTGAATTAAATTTACAAAAGTGCAGTGTGCTTCTATAGCATACCTTACAAACTTCTCTGAGTGCTAACATAAACATGAGTACTGTTAAGTCTCAGCAATGTGGCCTTGAAATCGCCATACCATGATTGCTTCTTCCCTCTTTTCCTCTTTTCTCCATCCTTTCCCAGTTTTTGAGTGCCTGCTTTGTGCCAGGTGTTTTGCAGGCACTAAGGAGATATAATGGACAGGTGCCGATGTTACTTGTGAGGAGCTTATTCACAGTCCTGTGGGGCTGGAGGCTGTAGAAATGTGTTCACGTATGCACATATAAACACAGTACACATAGGCCTTAGAGGAGCATACCTGTGTCTAGAGAGGTCCAAGAAACTCACAGAGCAGCTGAGGGTTGCAGTGAGATTTGCCAGAAAAGTGAAGGAGGAAGGCTTGTACAAATGCATGGAAGCAAAGCTCACAAGCTCTTTATGCCCAGGGAGATGTACTGCATACCTGGAGGCTCAGAGATACTGAAGGTGGGGCTGAGGCTGGGGAGAAGAAAGCCTCATACTGCCTGGAAAGGGACTTAGATTTTCTCCCATACACAATGAGGAGCCACTGAAGGATTCTTTGTGGAGAAATGATGATTGGTCATAGTCTTTCTTATTCCTACCCATCAAGCTTACATTCCCCTGAAATGGATTTCCCAAACCCACCTTCCTTTTCATGTAGTTAACTCTCATTCGTCTTTCAAGTTTCAGCTGGAATGTCACCTCCTCTAAGAGTATTTACTTACCTTTACCAGGCAGGCAAATTTGGATACACTTCCTACACTTGACCAGACTGTACGGAACCCTGAATCCGTCACAAAGCGGCACTGTAACAATTTGTATATCTCCTGTGCCTTGTGGGCTGTGATTATCTGGTTTGATTTTTTCACCCCAGTTACTAGCACAGGGCCTGTGCTAGGAAGATGCATGTTTACTTTCAAGTCCCCATGGCTTCTCTCCTCTACACCCCACACCCCCATGCTTGGTGACTGCTTTTGTTAGAGTCACTTGTCAACTGGCTTTCTGCTAGTTTTGGCCAATGAGAAGCTACTGGGAAGAAAGGAAAGAGCAGGGTATTTCTTTCTCTCTCTGCTCTTAGCCGCATCCCTGACAGTGATCACATTTTCTCCAAGGTTGCATCTTCTACTGTACGATCTCCAAAGTTCCAGTTCCTGCCAAGTGGCCACTGCTTCTGGCTCTGACAACATCACATCCTCCTTCTGTTCCTTTAGCTTTTGGAATAACAACCTCCTCCTTTAATTTCTCTGTTGCTTTATTTTCCCTTGCTTGGCTTGTTAGCTTTTCCTATACCATTAGAACTAGTTCTCTGTATTCATTTCCCTCTGTAGAGCTCCCTAGAATGACTCCATTTTGACTGGACTCTTATGGACATAGTTTTCAATGGAATGAGGTGCTCAACATGTCAATACATGTTTATAGGTGAAATTTTTTTTTGCTGTGTTAGTCAGCTTTCTGTTGCTGTGACAAAATACCTGAGAAAAAAGGCTGAGCATAACAGTGCACACCTGTAATTCCAGCTACTCAGAAGGCTGACGCAGGAGAATCAAAATAGATGAATGAATGAACAAATGAATGAATGAATGAATAAATAAATAAATAAGAGGAGGATATGTGTCAGTGGTGGAGTGCTCCTGGGTTCTATCTTCAATAATGGGAAAAAATTCTCAGTCTTGTTTCCTCCTACTTGAGGCAGATGGAAGTAGAAGTCTGCTTTGTAGGAAGATCCACAAGTTGGTTTCTCCTGTTTTCAGCTCCTGTCTCCCCAGCTTATTAAGAAGGTTGGGAACTTGGCCAGGACCAGCTTATTAGGGAGCAAGGGCAGCATCTCCTTCTGTGGACAGGTGTCTGAAGAGTACTCTCACTGTGTTGCATGCATGGGCTCTTCAGAGGCCTCCACCCTGTCCCTCTGACCAGGGTCCTTTTCTCCTTTTGTATTTCCTTGATGGAGCCCTTGGTTGGATGGTGGCCCATGCTACACCAAATTTCACCACCCGTCCCCCAGCTCTGCTCTCTGCCAGTACTGCACACTGCTCCAGCTTGGCTTTTCCACCTCTTTGTGGTCCGGGAAATGCTCATGCTTGCTCTGAGGAATTGTGGGATTGCAGCCCAATTCCGGGGCAGCCTCTTCTCTCAGCCTCCCACGAGGCCTTAGTGTCTTAGCCTGAGTCAGCACCATTTCCTGTACCTCCTGCCTGAGGACCACAGTGCAAGGTGGGAGAAGGAAGCAGCCACTCAACACTCTCCAAATGGACAGTGGGGACTTCAATAATGTCTTTCTCAAAAAAGCACTTCAAATCTTTCCCCGTTCTCTCAGCAAGACACTTCCATGGTTTCAGTAAAGAACAGTACTCAGGGTCACAGAATCAGTTTTCAGAGTTTCCTTTGTCCATTCTTCAGGCTGTGAGCTGTCTTACATTTTCCCCTTCCTGTGCTTCAGTAGAAGTGGAAGGAGGGAAAGTGACCCCAACAGGTCTGTCAGAGGGCTGGGGTGAAAACTAACTCAGAGCAGTCAGGTTAGAGATTCTCAACTCACTTCCTGGCCCACTCATGCATTCACACTGCACCTGCTATTTGGGTCAGGAACCTGAAAACATACCAGAGGCTGCAGACCCCTAATGCTCAAGCAATCCTTACTCCATTCCGTTTCAGTCACCAACCTTATGCTGGGGACAATGACTGGGACTCGATTCAGTAGAGTTGGAAAGTGGTAAGTAACCGTGTAAGTAACCACTTGGGGTGAAAACGTGGGCGTGTCTCTTTTGTTTTTCCAACTATATGGTAAGCAACCTACACCTGCCCCGTTCTAGGAAAAACTGCTTCTTCAGTCCTCACCTGTCCAAGAAAGGCCAACGTGCATGGAAGCGCGCTGAGCGCTGCCAGGAAGTACCGCACGGTGGCGCCGTCGGACACCCCTCGGCCTTCCACAAAGAGGCTTTTGTCAGTGTCCAGGCTCAGCAGCTGACGCGCGGGGGCGGGGTCGGGGGATATGACCCCATTCCCTCAGCAGTAACCTCAGCCAGGAGTGACTCCCACTGGAGCTCATGAGCTGCCGCTCAGCTGAGTTCTGCACCCGGTTTCCTTTCACAGCCGCCGTCCAGGTGCCAGCTGGTCCCAGGATCCCCAGGGCAGCGCGGGCTCCCGCGATTCTTTGTTTCAACCCCAAACACAAAAGGTTCTCTTATCACCTCCCCTTCCTGTACAGCGAGTCTCGACGCTTGCCATCCATCTAGGCTTCTGAGAACAGTGCTCTGGGGACTCCCTAGGGGACTGCTGAGGACAAGTCGGTTTTCTGTCCTACTCTACAAATCTTTCACATGGTTTTCACCAGAGAAAGGGATTGCAAGTTTTAATCTTCTGAGTCATCCTGCCTCACAGAGAGTAAGAATCGTGTCTAAAATGCTTTCAGATCTAGATCAGCTGGTAGCCCTGACCTTGGGAGAAGACCTCTGGGAGCATATTTGAAGTCCAGTAGCAGTCTGACCTTCCTGACTATTTAAGGAAGTGACTTTGGATTCCAAGGGCTTGTTCATGCATGGCAATTAGTTTGCAAAGCTTCAAGAGCAAAGGGTAGACTCAACCCGGATGCCAAGTGGGGAACCCAGTGTTTTTGTTGCAGCGATGGAAGTCACAGAGAGTCCTGGCTGTCGTGCCAGGGATGAAGCCACAACATGCCCACAGTGAGGAAGAGCCAGGCACTGAAAGGAGCCCAGAGCTCCCCTGGTGAGAAAATAAACTGGCAATCTGGGATAGTAACTGCCCTCTGAACATGGGCTATGTGCAGCACATTTGGGGGACAGTTTGTGTGTTATTTCTAATCTTCATGACCACTTTATTTGGTAAATATTATTGCACTAATTTAATAGATGAGACAAACGTGGCTCAGAGAGCTTAATTCACCAGTCCAGTGTTACACAGATAGTTGTTGGTAGAATTGGAAATTCAAGATCTTTAGACTCTAAAATTCACTCTCTTCCCATGATTACATGATGCCTTTTGAGAATGGTGTCAGGATTAGATGAAGATGGTGAAGACAAGGTAGTTGGGAGTGGATCTTGCCATACTGCATGACTTCTTGTGAAGTTTCAAGTTTAAGCAATGATAACTTTGTGTTTGTCATGAAAACCATTCTGAAATAAAGTCCCTGGGGGAAAAAGTCAGTGGGTGGAAACAAGCGACCAAGAAACTCAGAATAAAGTTGAGCACTTTTACTTGGGAGGGACTGAGTTGTTTTGTTAATTATGTGGTGATTTTCCCACCTCTGTGCCTCCCCTACAGCTCCTGTGCCTGGAGTTGCCTCCATCCCCAACTTTGCTCTGCCTGGGGAAAGTCTGTGGAGAGCTGCCTCCTCTGAAAAAAAGCTTTCTTTCCTGGTTGGCAAGCACACAGGAAGATTGGGCACCCTCCACTCTGTCTTTCCTTTGTTCTTACCCAGGTTTCAGTTCGGTAGGTATTAGTCCAGGTACTGGAATTGTCTGCAAAGGGCTGGTCTGCCATAGGGCTGGGAGAGGAGTTCTTTCATTCAGGACAAAGGCTGATAATCAGGAAGGATTAGAGGCCCAATCACTGAAGAACAAGGAGGTAGGAAGGGGTCTGCAGAATCTCCACATCACAGGGGGCCGTGGTTGGGGGGATAAAGCTGGATGGTGCTCATGGAGCAGGAACCTGGACAAGGTGGTGGGAGCAGCACTGCTGAGTCCAGCCTGGAGAGATGGCATCCAGCACAGGCAGTTCGTGGATGATCCCTGGTAAGCAGTGACGGATGGTGAAGGAATGGACAGAAGATGATAAACAGCCTTTAAGCCAAACCCGAGGCCATATTGGTCACAGGCAGTTAGTTCCCACAGGCTGGTTGAAGTCATAATTCTCTCAAGAACTCATCATGCTCCTGGAACTTCCAACTCTATTTCCCAACTAATTTGCCTTCAGGTTGGCCAGAGATTTGGACCAGTTGGGTTGGGAAACCACACCAACCAGCCTGCTTTAGCAGGAGCAGTGGTGGTTCTCTGCAGAGCTGGGAATGGCTGAGCCTTACCCAGTGCTACAGCATGACTCAGTCTCTCATTGAGGGACCAGCCTCAAGTCTGATTGTGCCCAATACCCCCTTGTTTTTCTAAGTGAGTGTTGGGAATTTCCTTGGTTAAGCCTCCAGGTCTTCTTTTCTTCCAGATTTAATGAGCTCATTTATTTTTCTTTTTCACTTAGCAGGTTTTAGGGCCAGTTAATGAGTGGTGGGGTTCTTTCTAAGAGACAACTTGGGCCCGAGTTTAGGGCATTCACTTGCCATTTCCTGCTCTTAAGTTCCCAGTGTCTCTCCAAGTTTCTCCCTTGTTCTGGCAACTACCCTCCCTGGTGCCATTCCCATATGTGGAAGTTTCTGGAACATAATAGGACTGAAGCTTTAGGGTTTTCCCCTCCCTTCACATGCCACAGAAGGAGCTGTGGCAGCATCAGGGAAAGAGTTCCTTTTTAAGTGCAGGGTTTCCCCTCTGAGTTTAGTCTGAAGCTTTGGTGGAGTTTGAGGTGGGGGAGGCTGGTTGTGAATTCCAGGGAGACTTGCCAGAGGTGGTTTACACTTTCTTTGTGTGACACTGGCTGTAAAGAGCTGCCAGGACTGAGCACCAATGGAAGGAGACTTGAAACCTTGCTCTGGTGGTTGACACTTGGGAAACTCTGAGCCTAGAGATAATGAGAAAGAATGCAATGTCCACATGGCAAGAATGGGAATGCACAGCAATTCAAGGCTAACTCAGTTCCTAGAAGTTCCTCTAGGTAATGACTCCATGGCTACCTTGTTAAATTATGATTGGGAGCAGCTTAGCCTCAGGAGTCTCCTGTATACCTGGTCATTGTCCATCCCACTTACTTTGAGGTAGGCAGACACTGAGCTGGGCACTGAGGCATCAGGAGGAAGGATCAGACATTGTCCTAATGTATGTCCACATATTGGAAGGGTTCCTGTGCAGTGGAGGAAGACAGACAGTGGGGGAGGAACTAGAGGACAAGTTGTGGAAACCTCAGTGTGTCATGCTTTGTTTGCAAACCCCTTGTTTCCTGCTTAACCTTGCTTCTGTGTGGGACCAGGCTGAGGGTGGCAATGAAGAGCCTCAGTCTCTCTACTAAGTCTCCATACAAGCCAAGAGCCAAGACTCTTTTGAGTCCAAGGTCCTTGCAGCTGAAAGAATATTTTGAAGGATGTTGTGCCCTGACTTGCTACTGGACCTCAGCAAAGATCAGACAGAAGGGCTCAGGTTGGGGAGGCAGTCTATCTTCATTTGGGTTGGGATTCTGTATTTGTTTCCCAGGGCTGCTGTATAAAGTGCCACAGACTAGTTGGCTTAAGACAGGAAGTTCAAGATCAAGGTGTCCCTAGGATTGGTTCTTTCTGAGGCCTCTGAGAGAGACTGCTCCATGCCCTGGCTCCTGCTGGTTTGCTTTTAGCCTGTGGCAACTCCTGACTTTTAGAAGCCCCACCTCTGTCTCTGCCTTCATTCTCATTTGGTGTCCTTCCTGTGTGCCCTGTGTATCTCTGTGTCCAAATTTGCCCTGCTTTTAAGGATGCTTTTCACACTGGATGAGAGCCCACTCTAGTGGCCTTACTTTATTGATTACATCTCAAATGACCCTATTTCCAAATAAGGTCACATTCTAAGGTACTAGCCGTTAGACTCCAGCATATGAATTTTAAGAGGTCACAATGCAACCTGTAATATCATAATTCTGTCTTTATTTTCCTCTGGGTGTCCATCAGCAGTACCTGTGGGGAGGAAGCCAGAGCAGCTCAAGGAGAGTCAGGAGTGTTCCTGAGGAGAAGAACTAAAGGGTGGTCTGGAGCAGGGAGATTAGCAGGAGGGTTTGTGCTGGAGAGCAGCCTGGCACAAGGATATTTCATGAGCAGCTGCAGAAATGTAGAGGGAGAAGTTAGCAGTGCAGAGACTTGGTTGTCTACCCCTCTGCACTCAGGACTGGTAGAGAAATGAAGTCGAAGAAAGGCCCAGGAGGGCAGCTGTTCTTAAAAGGGTTGGCACAGGTTGTTAGGAAGGCAGGAGGCATATGACCACTGAGGATCTGTGGAGAGAAGCAATCCTTGGACTTGAGGGGGGAAAAAGTGGAGAATTGCAATCAGGAACTAGAGTTCTGGGGGACTTTGGATCATCAGGTGGTCAGAAACGGAAGTGTGAGCAAATTGGGTTCCTGGGGTGACTGAGCAATCATTCAGGCAGACATCCAGGACTAGCTAAAACTATTAATCACTTCCTCTTTGAAACACAAGATTAATTTAATTCAAATGCATCATTAGAGGTGAATGTTATAATATAGTTTTGTAGGTTTTGATAGATAATTATGTAAAAGGAAGTAGAGGACATTTGTCTTACTAAATATTGAAATGTAAGATAAAATAATTGTCATGAAAAGAATATGTTTTAGCCCATGAATGAATGGTCTGCTGAAGCATGTAACAATTCAGGAATAGACACAGTATGTTTACATACTTAAAAAGTGAAAAAAGATGATACTTCAATTCAGTGGGAAAGTTATGGCTGATTTAAAAAAAATGGTGTTGCCCTAATTGACTCTCCATTTGGGAAAAACAGGGAGATAAATCACTTCTTACCATAAACAAAAATAAATCCCAAGTGGGTTTGGGTTAAAGGTCTAACTGTAGGTGTTAAAGGTCTAACTCTAACTACATAA